AGCAGCAGCGATGCAGTCGATGAAGAAAGAAGAACCGGTGCTGAAGGTGGGCATCGATTGCAATGAGTTTGCGATCGCCATGCAGATGGCCGCTCGCAACATACTGCCCTCCACAGCGTCAAGAGTCACCGAGTTGCCAGTCTTCAATGGATCGTCGAGCGAGTGGTTACCATGGAAGATGGTCTATGAAGAAAGCGCAAGTCAACACACAGAACAGGAGAACCTAGCAAGACTGCGCAGAAGTTTGAAGGGGGCCGCAAAGGACGCGGCACGCTCCCTATTCGTCGGGTCTACGACCGCAGAAGAAGTCATGAAGATTCTAGCCGCGAGGTTCGGCCGCCCTGGAGCACTCGTCACAGCCGAACTGAACAAACTCCGCGCGCTACCACGACTCTCGGACAACGCAAGAGACGTCTGCCTCTTCGCAAGCAAGGTGCAGAACGTCGTCGCCACGATACGAGCGCTGAACAAGAGTCACTACCTCTACAACGAAGAAATAGTAAGAAACGTCACAGAGAAGATGCCGTCGGTACTACGCTTCAAGTACTACGATTTCGCCAACGACCAACCGGAGGGACAACCGGACCTCGTAACACTCTCTCAGTTCCTGCAAAGGACCGCCACACGATGTGGAAACTTCGCCCCCGCCGAGGAGATACCGTCCGAAGACCGGCGGGAGTCCGCTCCTAGGAAGACGGCGAAGACATACGCGACGCAGGAGAAACCCGCTACACCACCGTGCCCGATGTGTCGACGAGAGGGACACGCTCCATCGGACTGCAAGACGATGAAGGAAGCGGACACATCGGCGAGATGGGAGCTAGCGAAGACTCATAGGCTGTGTTTCCGCTGCCTCAGAATAAGAAGATTTCGCCACGCCTGCAAAAGCAAGAGATGTGGAGTAGATGAGTGCACACAGACTCATCACCCTCTGCTGCACGTCACCACGCGAACACAGCAACCGGAGAATGAAGTAACAACGCACGTCGTCGAGGACAAGTCCGCCGCAGTCGCCGCATCGGCAAGGGAAAACGACAAGATCGCGTTCCTGAAGATCCTGCCGATACGAGTCACCGGTCCCACGGGAACGTGCGACACCTACGCGCTACTGGACGACGGGTCGACTTGCACCATCATCGAGACGGCGGTGGCGGAGCGAATCGGTGCTACGGGCCCCCCCGCACCCTTCTACGATGGACAGACTGCAGTTATCACCGCAGTCGGTACCGCGCAGCGTCATCAAGGGCTGTCCACATCTACGAGACATAGAGAGGGAACTGGTCTATGAAGAGGGCAAACCGACGGTACTGTTGGGGCAAGACAACTGGCACCTACTACTGGCCCACGAAGTCAGAAGAGGATCCGACGCGCAGCCGGTCGCATCACTCACCGACCTGGGATGGATACTGCACGGTACGAGTCGCGGCAGGACAAGACAGCAGGTGCACAGAATCAGCCACATAGTGACGACACATGAAGAGGAACAATTGATGGAAGAAATGATGAAGCAACATTTCGCGCTCGAATCACTGGGGATCGCACCGAAGAGGTCTTACAACGAAGAGGAACGTCGCGCCCTACGCATTTTAGAAGAGAAAACTCGTCCGTTACCGGCGGGAGGATAGGAGACGGGGTTACTGTGGAAGAAGGACGACCCTGTGCCGCCGGACAACTATGAATCAGCAATGCGACGTCTCCAACTGGTCGAAAGGAAACTCGACAAGAATGAAGAAATTAAGAAGAGATATGAACAGCAAATGGACACACTACTCAAGAACGGGTATGCTGAAGTCGCCCCGCCACGGAGTTCCCAACGGGTGTGGTACCTGCCACACTTCGCCGTCATCAACCCGCAGAAACCGGGGAAACTGCGAATCGTGCACGACGTAGCAGCCAAGACGAAGGGCATCAGTTTGAACGACATGCTGCTGCCGGGCCCCGACTTACTTCAGTCGCTACCGGGGGTCCTCATGCGGTTCCGGCAACGACGGGTGGCAGTCACGGCGGACATAAAGGACATGTTCATGCGGGTCACCATACGGGAAGAAGATAGGGACATGCAACGGTTCCTGTGGCGAGGAGATCGACGAGAGGGTCCACCTGTGGAATATAGGATGAAGAGTGTCATATTCGGCGCCACATCGTCACCGTGTACAGCGATCTACGTCAAGAACAAGAACGCAGAACAGTACAAGGAAGAGTTCCCGGAGGCAGCAACGGCGGTGGTCACGAACCATTACGTCGACGACTACCTCGCCAGCTTCGACACGGAAGAGCAAGCCGTACGCGTCTCAAGACAGGTCGCACAGATCCACGGTCGAGCCAACTACTATCTCCAACGGTGGGCGTCGAACTCGCATCAAGTGCGCGCCGCGTTCTCCGACACCGGCGGGGACAGCGTGGTACAACTCGACGCGGAGAAGATACTGGGGATGGTATGGCGACCTTCTGAAGACACCTTAGGCTTCAACTTCAATGGACACAAGCTTCCGCCACGGATAGCCAGCGGGGAACAAACGCCGACGAAGAGGGAAGCGCTACGAGCGATTATATCGCTGTTCGATCCACTGGGCCTCGCCACTCCCATCACCATACAGGCGAAGAAGATACTGCAGGAGACGTGGCGTACCGGTATCGACTGGGACACCGAGCTGCAGCCACGGGAAGCGGACGCCTGGCGGAGCTGGATGGCCCACGTGCGACGGCTGTCCGCGCTGGAGGTGCCGCGGTGCTACCCGGAGGTAGCCACGGCCGATACAGCGGAGCTGCACACCTTCGTGGACGCCAGCTCGGACGCGTACGCCTGTGCCGTGTACTGGCGGGCCGTAAGCGCGACCGGCGGTCCACGTGTCGCTGATCGCGGCTAAGGGACGAGTGGCCCCACTCAACAAGGTGACCACGATACCGCGACTGGAGCTGCAAGCGGCCGTCCTCGGATGTCGCCTATCGCGCACGGCAGTCGAAGAACACGACCTGAAGCCCGCTCGCCGAGTATACTGGTCGGACTCACGCACCGTGCTCGCATGGCTACGCACCGGTCCTCGCGCATACAAGCCGTTCGTCGCACACAGAGTCGCCGAGATCGTCGAAGAAACGAAGACGAACGAGTGGAGATGGATACCGACGCGGCACAACGTAGCAGACGACGCCACACGCGACCCACCGACGGACTTCGGTTCGCAACATAGATGGTTCCGCGGGCCGGACTTCCTGTACCTCCCCGAAGAGCAGTGGCCGCGTGAAGATAGTTCGAGCGACGATAGACAAGCGGAAACGGGAGAAGAACGCGTACACAAGCTACAGAACGCGACGCAGTTGTCCATAGCATTGCCCGATCCGTCACGTTTTTCTAATTGGTTGAAACTTGTTCGCAGTTCAGCACGGGTATTGCAGTTCATCGACCTCCTGCGACCGACCAGTCAACGCTGTGCCGCCACCCGAAAGAGAAACAAGAAGAAAGAGAGCGCCGACCCCACTTGGACCCGCACGAAGAAAGTCGATAGAGAGAAGATGAAGATGAAAATCAAGAACAGCAATAGTCCATCTGTGTGTTTCATCCCCATAGACACACACTACCTAGATCGCGCGCGACGGCTATGGATTCGCGCGATGCAACAAGAGGCGTTTGGCGACGAAATCGCAGCATTGAAACGAGGGAAACAGCTACCGTCATCCAGTCGACTCATACAGCTGTCAGTCGTCATAGACAACGACGACATTCTGCGACTTCGATCAAGAATAGCAGCCGCCGCCGATCTGTCAGCCGAGCAACGAGAGCCCCCCATCGTCGACGGAAACCACGCCTGGGTGCGCCTATACATCGCATGGGTGCATCAAAAACTTCACCACGGCGGCTTCGAGATCACCACGAACGAGGTGCGACAACACTTGTGGGTGTTGCGCCTACGACACGCCGTCCGCGGTGAGCTGAAGAGGTGTCAGCTGTGCCGCCTACGAAGAGCAAGACCGGCGCAGCTGTCAACCGGCAACCATCCACAGAGCAGGCTGGCGCATCATCAGCGACCGTTCACGTTCACCGGCCTAGACTACTTCGGGCCTATGACCGTAACGGTGGGCCGCACTCACCAGAAGCGATACGGAGTGCTCTTCACCTGCCTAACGACGCGCGCAGTCCACCTGGAGATCGCCGGCAGCCTCAGCACGGACTCCGCCATAATGGCCCTGCGGCGCTTCATAAGCCGCAGAGGGTGTCCCACGGAGTTATGGTCCGACCAAGGCACCAATCTCAAAGGTGCCGACGTCGAATTAAGGAAAGCAGCCGAAGAAGCCATCCAAGAAGAGTCATCAGTCAATTTCATCCGGTGGCGCTACATTCCCCCGAGCGCACCCTTCATGGGAGGTGCGTGGGAACGGTTGGTGCGTAGCGTGAAGACCGCACTAGCCGCTACGTTGAACGAGCGGGCCCCCAAGGAAGAGGTCCTCCACACTCTACTGGTCGAGGTCGAGCACACCCTCAACAGCAGACCGCTAACCCACGTGTCAACATCGGCAGACGACGACAGCGCCCTAACCCCCAATCACTTCATATTGGGCGGTCCATCGCGCGTCCCACTGCCAGGCAGCTTCACGGAGAGCGACGCGGCGGGACACAGGGAGTGGCGTGCCAGCCAGAGGCTAGCTGACTGCTTCTGGAACCGGTGGGTGAAGGAGTACCTACCCGAGTTACAACACCGGCGGGAGCCCCGAGCTACACACGGAGCCATCAAGATGGACGACTTGGTCCTAATAGCAGACGGGACCTTGCCTCGCAACACGTGGCCGCGAGGCGTGGTGGTGGCGACCTACCCTGACGGTGACTAACAGAAGGTGAAAAAGTTAGGTGTACAATAGAGTGCTGCTTTTTTGCACCGTTTGTATAGTAGTTTCAAGGTAAAACGTAGTAAAAACCAACACAAGTTTGAAATTGAACCAAATCGAATCAATTTGAAGAAATTTTTTGACATTTAAGTAAAAATAAAAAGATTTTCTGGCAACCCTGCGCACATCAGTCGCAGTCAGTCGTAGTAATACGAAGTTTATTTTTATGTTCTTGTATTTGTAGCATAATACGTATTAAATTAAATCAAATAATCAGTTTTCGTGAGTGTAAACATATAAATTGCGCTACTCGTTCAAAGTAATTAAAATTACAGATACATACAAAATTGTTATCTAAATTTCAATTAAACAATATTGTGCTTAAAGTGGTCGAGTTATATTTCTTATCATTCCGTAATAAGCATATTTATTATAATTTCCTAATTGCAATGGATATTTTAAAAGCTGAAATAGCTAAAAAGCGAAAATTACTAGAAGAAAAAAATATTCTTGTAAGTATACATAAAATAGTATAAATAAATCTGTAAATCCCTTTCAAATTATTTTATGGTGCTATATAATTTTTTTCATAATTTATCTAAATTTATCTAAAATAAATCTTAAAAATTACATAAATTGTTTTAAAGCAAATTTTATTTCTATCTAGGATCCAAACAAGAACAAAAAATATTTTAAAAGAGGTGATCTATTAGCTAAGGAACAAGAGGAATACTTTAAAAAGTATGGACCATGTAAAACTGAGGATGTGGATAGCAATAATAAGGTGGAGCAATCTGAAAGAGGTAAATACCCAATAATTAATGTTAATATGTTGTGAAATCATATTTTTATATTAATCTAAGACAAATAGTTTGCATTAATTATATATATGATTTGTCAGAATTATTAATACGAGTTAGAATAGCATGTCCCACACTCGCTTTAAGATATTTTCAAAGATCCATGGTCCTTTTTTGCTCTTTATAATTATATCATTTTAACAATTCAGGATATCTAAATTAAAAAAAATTGTTAATATGTGGTAGACATGAAATGTATGGGCAGGTTTCTCTTTGCGATAAACAGAAGAAAAAAAAAGGGTTAGTTGGTTAGTTACTCACTGGGGTTGATTGTAAGGAACTATGGTGCCATTTCTCTAAATCTATCTTTAAAATTAAAATTTCAGTGCATTTTTTATTCTAGAAACCAATTTGAAATAAATGTTTAACAGATTTAAATCAACCATAAAATAAATTTATTTTATGTTGGCCCATAAAACAGTAACTTTCTGAAATTATCAATTTTTTTTATATGTTATGGAATGGTAGCCTCACCTGCACTATCAGTATATACTGGTAGGATAACAGGGAAGATTAAAGCAGGTCATCATGACAAATTCCAAATTTAATGACTATGGTTTCTAGGAAACCACATGGAGGTCAATCTAATCTATTTTGTCTATGAACCCTATTGCTAGCAATATACCCTATATTGCTAGTAATAGACTTGATAGACAAAATATGAGATAAGAGAAATGACACCAGAGAATGGGCCTCATGTTGTGTGAATTCATATCAATGTAGCTTTTTTGAGCCATCACTGTCTTGAAAATTTCCATTGGATATATATTGGTTAGTCTTCTCAATCACTTTGTGATTCATATAAGAAGTATTGACTAAATCAGTCTTTTTTAATTTTTTTTTTATGTGTCTGTCTAAATACTCAATGTCCTTCCAAGGGAGAATAGTTAAGATAATCAATAACCATTATAATTAAATTATAGCTACTAAACAAGAGAAATCAGAAGTAGAACAAACAGAAGTTGTATCATTACCAAGATCTGAAGTAATCAAAAGATTGAGAGAACGAGGCCATCCCATTTTATTGTATGGAGAAAATGAAGTTCAATCATTTAGGAGATTAAGAAGGATAGAAATCCAGGAACCTGAGGCAAACAGAGTAAGTAGCCAATATGTTTTTAAATATTAGATTCTTGTTTTAATAAGTGTCAGTGATAACTCTATCTTTATTATAAAAACAGAGTTGTTACCGACATAACGGGTATTAAACACGTTAAAATAAGAAGTAAAATAAGATTGTGTTCCCCAAAAACAAAACTGACTTCAATTGTGGCAAAATTAGTTATTTTGATTCAAATATTACTGTATTCATTTTGATAGAATTTTTATATGACCAATGTATAAGTATATTCATTCAGATAAAAAAGAATTTTCCAAATCAATTTACAACTAATGAATTATGAGGTAATAAACATAAAAAAATATATAACCCAATTCAGACATCCTTCTTTTTGAAGATGACAAATTAAGATGCAATTGTATTTACATTTATATTGATTGATCTGAAATCATGTATAAAATGCACAGCTAAGTTTCCAATACAAATTGTCAATGTAAACACTAACACAGTCTGTTAAAATATCTACCTTAAACACTCTTAGAAAGCCCTTAGTGTAAGTTTAATACTCCTATTTGACTACCTGAGGACTAAGTAGGCTTTAAGCAGAAGTGGTAAAAAGTGTACCATAAGCTAGTACTTGTATCAACTGAATTTTCAAATGTTAGTCACTACCTTACCACTTCATTTCAGTTAGTAGTATCTGAGTCTGAGACTCAGATACTACCTGTTTTATTTTTAAACAGCATATTTAAAAAGAAATAACAAAATTATTTTTTAATAATACAGCCCAAGTTTTGTAGGCGTACTGTTTGCAATATTTGTATAATTATGTATTAAATTAACTTTGTTTTTATCATTTTCAGGGTTTTAGAAATGACTTCCAGGAAGCTATGGAAGAAGTAGATCAAGCTTATTTAAATGAAATATTAGCACTTGGAACACAGGTAATTTTATACTAAAATTTAATTTAGTGTAATAATATATATATATATATATATATATATATATATATATATATATATATATATATATATATATATATATATAAATAGAATTTTTGTTTTCCAATACTGACATGGCAACTCCAGCTGTGAAGTCAGTACGGGAGGTACAACTTATATTAATGGCTTTCATCAGCATGTAATAGTAAAATACAACAAAATGGATAACATAAATGCTTCATGAAAAAGAATGTAACAGTATAATGAACCAATTTTCATGATTACTGTACTGATCAAATAATATTGAAACCTATTTGCATCAAAAAGCAGTGGTGGCTATTATAATAATATTGAAGATACCTTTATGTATTTTTGGTCAATCCTCTAAACTTAAAAACTATTTTACACAATTCTTATGACAGTTTTCTATAAAAATTCTGTATCTTTAATGATTATCCTTCTATTTTTCCAATTATTTATTTAGGGTTGGTTTAATATATCTTCCTCTTTTATAATTTATGCACAGCCATTTCCGCCTTCACTCCTATTTTGGCTATATCATCTTTTACACAGTCTATTCATGTCTTTTTAAATCTTCCTCTAACCTTATAGAATCATACTTAATACCTTTATTTATTTTTACCTTTCTTATATTCTTCATGTCTACACAACACATGCCCATATATTTTTAAGTAAATTCACTTATTAGTTTTTTAAAACTTGCTCTTCCTTGTTATGCAATACATGTCTATGTATTCTTAATTAAATTACAATTTTTAATATTTATTTTATTTTTAGACTGACACTGAAAAGTCTTTGAAAGAAGATGCTTTAGATGACTCCATCACATATGAATTTATTCAAGAAATGGCCAAAACAATGGGTCAAGGTGACAGAAATCATGATATGAATGTAATTATGACTCTTTTACAGGTATTTATTATGTTATTTCTAATATCATTTCTAAATACAAATAGAAAAATAGATTTTTTTTATTTTTTATACAACTTAGAATGGCAAAAAAACTGAAAAGTGGTAACCGTCACCTATAGACATGAGCAGTACCATGGGCATATCAGGGTATACTGTTTCGCCCATGATACCCCCCATGCAGTTCAGTAAGTTAATAAATAAAAACACAACACATATTACCACATTAAGTTTTTATATAAAATTATAATAATACAAAATCTACCACACATAAACATTACATTTCCTATAAGTGAGGCAATCTACCTTTATTTACAGTTCCTCCTTAAACTATGGGGTCAACAACTAAATTCTGCAACTGCAGCTGAAAAAACGGCAATAAAACATAAAATGACAAGAGCAACATTCACGCAAACACAAGTTTATCTTAAACCTCTAATGAGGAAATTGAAGAAGAAAAATTTGCCAGAGGATATTTGTGATAGTCTTATGGAAATTACAAAACATTTATTAGAAAGAAATTATATTATGGTAAGTTTAAAAATTTGTTCAATATTTAGTTAAGAACAGATGTTTGATATTGAGTTTATTCATCTCATGTTATTTAAAAGAAAGTGATGATCGAAAATTGTATTAAACTAACACACTAATTAGATTATTGACTCAAAAATGTTTTTATTTCTTATTTTTTTTTATGTTATATATACAAGCATTGGTTTGGTTTAAATATAATTTTTTTTTTATCTTTCTAGGCTAGCGATGCATATCTACAGATGGCAATAGGCAATGCCCCATGGCCCATTGGTGTAACTATGGTGGGTATTCATGCTCGTACTGGACGTGAAAAGATTTTTTCCAAAAATGTAGCTCATGTAATGAATGACGAAACTCAAAGAAAATACATTCAAGCTCTAAAAAGATTGATGACAAAATGTCAAGAATACTTCCCAACAGATCCATCTAGATGTGTGGAATATAGTACAACAGGATAATATAATATATACATTCAATTTGATTTTTATTTCTTCCTTCTAGCTGACCACAATTTATTTGCTCACATTAGCACCTTAAATGAATATATTCCTTTATTTTCTAGTAAAATAAAAACTAACTAAACTTAGATTATATAATGTTATACTACGTCTGTATCTAAATTTGTTTAACTGCACTATCTTATGCGTTATAGCTAAAAAACTATAATTTATGGCTAAAGAACAATCATGTGGAACTATGTATATTTTTAAAGTAAACATTTTGTGAGAACGAAGATTAAAAATAATAATATAAACGAAATAAAATTATCCTAATCTACTTTTGGCGTACAAAGTATACAGATTGGCAATAGCGATGGGCGAATCGAATCGAACAAATTCTAGTTAATCTAGCTGCATTGCCGCCGGCTCAATTCGAACTGGCTTTTCTATCAATTTGAATCAACTTGTATAAAGCCAATACGGTGCTAACTACGTCACAGCCGTGATATGAATGCGATCCTCGCTCGGATCACTGTCGCACGCAACTCGGCCGACTGTTCGTCATAACGTCAACTACATTCGATTGCTGTGAATGCTGTGTGGCTGTTGCGTGCGACACAACAGAAACATCATACAACAAGCAAGACTCGTGTGAAGAAAAGGCGATTGGCTGACGAGCTCTTTTTTTAGAAATGTTACTGTTCCGTTTTTAATACTTAGCTAATTAATTAATTAATGTTAAAATTAATAGTAAAAATATAAGTATTAAACTTTTATGTATTTTCTTAGGTGATTACATAACTATTTAAAATTTTTATAAAATGAAATGAAATTTATTTGAATTGGATTAAATTTGCATTTTGTTATTTTTTACTTTTTGTATCTTTTAACGTTTTGTGGTTTTTGAAGTCGGTTTATTTTATTTAAAGTTTATATATTTATAAATATATTTTTATATTTACACTAAAAATTTTCCTCGATTTTCATGGGATCCAGATTCTGAATTGGTGCCAAAAAAAGAATTTTCATAATCGGTCCACAATTGATGTAGTATACATACGGTGAATGTACATAAAAAATATACAGTCAAACATAGAAAATCCTCTTTTTTTGAAGTCGGTTATGAAATCAAGACACATCTTGCACATCCACATCTATCCAAGAAGTGCTAAGTAGCTTCTGTCGACATATTGCAGTATTATTTCCTAACTCCTGAGAGTTAAGGAATGCTATTTTATTGGCAGCTCATGTGACTTGAAAGAATACAACTAACGGTGTAAACGTGCCTATGATATTTAAAGAATTATCCCTTAACTCCTAACCGTTAAGGAGTTGTACTCCATCGTCAGCTCATCTGAATATTACTTGAATTAATACTACTAACGGTCTAAACGTGCCTAATATTTCAGGAATTATCTCTTAACTCCTAACCGTTAAGGAGTTGTACCTCTCATCATCAGTTAAGCAACATGAGATGATGACTACCAGACGCAAATATCTGAATAGCTTTAGAAAGTACATGAAATATATTGTAAGTGCCTGTAAAGTATAGAGAGTTGCCCTCGATTTCCCTGGGATCCCATCATCAGATCCTGACATGGTGACAATGGGACCATCTCAAGACAATACCCCTTTCGACAAAAAAAGAATTTTCAAAATTGATCTACAATTGACGGAGTAATCCCGTAACAAATACATAAAAAAACATACAATATTACAGTCGAATTAAGGAACTCCTCCTTTTTTGGAAGTTATATTTTAAATATTAGTGTTTTGTATTTTTCTTTCAAATTAATAGCTCGAAAGAAAAGAACAAAACTGTTCTATAGCTAAAATAGGTTGATTATACGTTTAGTTTTTTTTTTTATGAATAAGGAGATTTTTATTTCATCCGCCTTTAAAAATAATTAAACAGTTCAATCGATAGTGAACACAGGTTTTCAACAGTTTTCGTAATCTGGTCATTTTTAAGAGTCATTACTTCGAATTAGAGTCAATATTAATTATATATAGTCGTAATTCCCACATCAAAATAAAAAGAACTGTTCCACAAAAAATTTAAATGGCATTCATTTGCATTACATTTGACAGTATTTTTGTTAAGTTGGCGCTATTGTGATTTCGTTATTTAAATGAACATTGGTATGATATTTTCTGACCAAATCCATACATTTAAAGCTAGTAGGGAAATTATATAAGTCTGACACATGTAAACAAAAAGAGCATGTCACAGATTATAAAAAAGTAAATAAAGTACAAGAGATAATCAATCACTTAAACTACTACTTTATTTAATAGTCATTATTCAATGTCATTATACAACTAAACAGGGAAATTAATTTATACAACCACTTAGAATCAATCAATTAAAATTAAATTGGTATTATTACTACTTTTACTTATAAATACGAAGGTTTATAAAAATGTTTGTTACTCAATCAATGCTTACTTGACTGAACAAATAACAATGAAATTTAGTGCACGGATAGCAACTTAACGTATAAAATACTTTGTATATTAGGTCTTTACATATGAAATTACTGTTTTATCGTACTGACCACTTTAATCTGAAATATCTTTTCTTTGATTAAGAATTCCAAATTCAAATTTATGAATTCATTTAGCTAGTACATTTGAGTTTTGAAAATAGTCATTTTATTGTTTTTTCCTCATTATCTTTTCCCTTTGCGTCGCTTATTACCGCCCAATGGAAAACATGAAATATCGGTATATTTACGAGTACGAGTTCTACCGTGAGACCAGTGCTGCAGAAACAGCTCGAAAGATTAATGATGTGTACAGCACTTGTGTCGCAAAAGAAAGCACAGTACGTTTTTGGATTCAACGTTTTCGTTCTGGAAATTACGACCTTCAGACGGCCGGAGACCAAAGTAGAAAATGAAGAATTAGAGGCTATTGTAGAAGCAGATCCATCACAAAGTACTTCAGAGATAGCTGCAGGCTTCGGAGTAAGTGATAAAACTGTATTAATCCACTTGAAGCAAATAGGGAAAGTAAAAAAACTTGAACCAAATATACATCGAATGTTTACAGTTTTCTCATCATCCTTTTATACCAAAATTAAATAGATTATCAAATTTAGTAAAATCAGTTCCTCATTGGAAACATAAGAAACCACCTACGAGGTCTGTCCGGAAAGTTCGTATAAAAGTGTTCTGGAATGCGAGAAAGAGGAGTGGGGAGGCCAGGTAAGCGCAGGACCCCTTCCTTATGTCCCTAACAATGCTTCAGTTCTGGTCTGACCGCCGTGCGGTGCGAACTGGCTTGTCACGCCATCTGTGAAGTTACCTCTTAACGAAACCCCGTCGGCATGGAGCCCGCTTCCGTTGAAGAGCAGCGCATTGCAGCAATTTGATGTCGAATTAAAATCCCAAAGCAAAGAGTGGAAGACATCCGGGGAACCACGAACAAAAAAATCAAGAAAATCCCGCTCAAATGTCAAGACAATGTTGATTGTTTTTTTCGATGTTCGGGGGATTGTCCATCAAGAATTCGTCCCTCCAGGCCAGACAGTTGATGGAAAATTCTACGTCGATGTGCTCAGACGCCTCAAAGCTCGTGTGGCACGAGTTCGTCCAGAATTGGCGCGAGAGGGGCGTTGGATTCTTCACCACGACAATGCCCCTGCCCACACCTCTCTTGTTGTCCGTGAGTTTTTGAGTAAAAATTCCATTACGGTGACCGAACACCCCCCCTATTCGCCGGATTTGGCCCCGTGTGACTTCTTCTTGTTCCCAAAAACCAAATTGGTACTTCGGGGGCGGCATTTGGGGGACATAAATGAGATAAAAAAAAGCTACGACGGGGCAGCTGAGAAACCTACAACCAGAGGACTTTCAAGGAGCCTTCTCACAGTGGAAACGGCGTTGGCACAAGTGCATTATGTCACAGGGGGAGTACTTTGAAGGGGATAAAATTGATTTACCTGAATAATTGTAAAATAAAATTTTTAAAAACTTTTATACGTACTTTCCGGACAAACCTCGTATATTAGTAAACAGTTATGACACATATACCGCTCTATCTGCTCCTACACATAATAGTTTAAAACTACCTATTTATTCTATACACTTCAATTCAGTGCATTGCTTACAATACCCAATATTATTTTTAATATAGGTATTGAAAAGGGAAAACCTAATGCCAATAATATTTTCAAACGCTACAGTTGATAAGAATTGAGAAAATTATCATCATATTTATATAGATGCTTCTAAACAATCCTCTGATGCCATCGGAGGAGTTGGTGTATATTATAAAAAATTTAACATAGTCCAGAAAATTAAACTCCCTCAAGACCATCTGTATTTACTGGTGAATGTTTAGGTTTATATAAAGCAGTTGAATATGTTCATCTGATGAAGTTAAAACGGACGTTAATTATTTTTTTTTAATACAACTTTGAATGGCATACAAGCCACCTGATGGAAAGTGGTAACCGTTGTCTATAGACATGAGCAGTACCATGGACATAACAGAGTATACTGTTTCGCCCATGATTCCCCCCATACGTTGCCATTCCTGAGGACTCAGGTGTTATTCCTCTGTACCCAGTAAATTCACGCCATATCCCACCCTTCAAACCGAAACACAGCCATGCAAACACAACTGCTTCACGGTTGAAAAAAATTCCAGCATATATTATGTGAATATTTAAGTAAACTATTTTTAATGTACAACAGTGTAATAATAGTAATTAATGTAAATTACAAATTTCACAGTAAGTAATTTTTTGTATGTTCACTGTATTTTAAGTAAGTGTAGTTACTGTTGTAGTCAAAATTAAAATTAATCATTTATGTTTTAAGAAGATAATAATACTTTAAATAATTAAGACTGTTCCATAAAAAAAAAACAGTTATTTTGAATAACAATCTAAATTACTGTACCAATTTTGTTAAAACTTCTATGGGGCCAATTTGTAAATATATCTTTATTAAATAAAAAAAAAAGAATTTTCTAAATTGGATTACAACTGACGGAGTCATGAGACAACAAACACAAAAAATATACAACCAAATACTGAAAGTGAACAAATGTGTTACATACACTACATAAACATTGTACTTTTTTTCAGCACATGCATAAAATGGGAATTAATTTAAATTTGTAATGTAAATAAGTATTTCATGTGTTTATATTATAGCTTTTAATTATAATACCCAAAAAGAAAACTGTCAAATAAAAGTTCTATTGAGTAGAAAATAAATAGAGATTATATGTTAGAATGTGTGTATTTTATAAAACTAATATAGTGTTAGAATATATGTACATATATATAATACATAAATAAAATAAAACACTCATTAAAATCCACAATTTACATGACATGAATCTTCTACATGACTGTTTTATTATGAATTATAACAACTGTATTGTACTGTAATTATAACAATTATACTGATATATTTATAACTGTAATTTTGATATGAATTGCATCTTATGGGTGTAAAATTTTGGGTTTAAATAAAAACAGATTAAAATGATGATCAATTTATGTGTATTATTTTATTAATCAAAAGATCTATACTCTATTTCATTTAACACAGCAGAAGTAAATGCTCTAATACTAAAAGTAAAAATATTCAGGTCAAATCAATAGGGATCCTATTAATTTGATCTGAAATAGATGGGATGTGTAATGAACATGAAAACGATTTATATTGATAGTATTAACTATGAAAAGCATATACATTATGTAATTATACTTCTAACAAAGCAATGTATAAAAATATATTGTACAGAACACAATATATATCTACATCACAAAATATTTATGTTTCGAACATATCACAGCAACCCGCACGTTTGGTTCATTACAACATTCCAATAAATCTAATGAAATGACTAACTATAGGAAAAGGATTACAGACTACAAGATCTACAATTATAAACTAATAATTATATTACAATTTATTTACAAAGAAGCAACAATGTAGTTCGTAATGCCGAATTACACTACTTACATATCTAAAACTTAAGTTTAATAAATTTTGATACAATCAAATTTGTTCTATTTTACACATGTATATATTCACGTACACTGTCATATTTGGTTTACAAGGAACAAACATTCGACCAGTTAAATATAAAATTGACAGTGTGTATAAAACACAATATATCTACCATTGTTACACAACATAAGTAGTCAACGATGTCTATGATCGCTTGTGGCCTCGCATGAATTTCAGAACTTTTTGCATGAGAGGCGCTTTCTTGGGTTTGAACGAAGTGAGCGCAGGCACAGACGCAGGGGAAGGCGAGGGTGCGGGTCGGCCGCTTCCGGCGCGAATTGTGAGCGGTGTGGCCAGGGCTGCCACCCGTGCTGCTGGACTGGTAGCAGCCGCTCGTGCGATGTTCCGGGGTGGTTTCACAACAGTATCAAAGTAAACCATCTTTGTTTGTTTAACGGGCGCTTTCTTCGCTTCTTGCGCTTTTTTAATATTCACTGTCAAATTTTTTAATTTGTTCTTGTTCTTTTTGGCATCGCTGAAATAATAAAAAAAAAATATTTAATACACCTTGACAAAGTTACTTTAGTAAAAATAGAAGTTGGTAGAAATGGTGTACAAAATGTATTTGAAATCGACTGATTTGCTGTCATGAGCACTTAACATTAAGACTTGCATTTATTTTGTAAATATTTACATTTAAAAAATGAGTAAAGCCAACATAATAACAAATTGTTACGGCGCGATATGGTCAATGTTTCAATTAATCTATGATAACTATAGAAACTAAAGAAAAATAAAAAAAAAAAATCTTGTTTTGTAATAATAATAAAAATGTCTTACAATGTACATTTCCCTCCACGTTTCCATCTCATGCCGTTGTTGTTTCCTAAAGTGCTTCTCGCAGTATTTCTGCCATAACTGAGCAGTGTCTTCCATAAGATAGGGATTGAAATGTTCCAGTACAAAAAGTTGCTGAGGGGTTGCCTTGTCTACAACGGGCTTCAAGAGTTCATATGGCACGCCGCCCGTGTACTTGAGGGCTAGTGACAAATAATTATTTCTATTAGTCTTGTATTTTAATACATTACAAATAATTAATATATAATTTCTAAAGAAAAACATAGTTCCTCTAGTAAGAAAAGTTGAAAGATAGAAGCAGTTCCTCAAAAGAAAAATTAAATAGTAAGAGTGAAAAACCCTCGAATCAAAGTAGATCTAAATGCGGTGAAAATAAAAGTAAACATGAGAAACATAAGTCTAGCAGCTCCTCGTCCTCTCACAGGAGCAGCAAGTCAAGCAGTAGTAAATCAAAAGAAGATATATACCAAAGAAAAATAATCATGTAAATAATAGTGAGGATAATGAAGACGGCATCGATTGCGGCTCAGGTTAGTGAGTCATAAATATAAAAATTGTCAATTTTTTTAATACGTTTTATAATATTTGTTTCTCTTGGTTTCTAGGTGCTAGTTTTGCTGAAGCCCTAGGAATGTTATATCCAGCAAAACCTAAAAAGAAATCCACAACTGTTAAAGAAACTCAATCGCCCAATTCAATAACTAATGATGTAAGCCCGGCCGTCCTTCTGGCACCGAATGCCAAGCTAGCACCACTGTCTGCTTTCGAAATTTCGGCTTTGTCAAAAATATCATCGAACTATAAGCCAAACTCGCCGCCTAAACTACTGTCACATTTTACTGATGAAGAGGCCATGAGCACCATAATATCGTCTAAAAACCAAAGGTAAAAAGCATTTCTTATTGTTTTTATTGGATTTCATATATTTTTAATATGTATACGAAAGTATAACTAAGTATATCTGTGGTCATACATTTTTAAAAAAAAATAGGCAAAAAGGTACGATTTCTAAATCTGTCTTCTTTGGAATTTTGTATTCACGAATATGATTTTCATGTTTTAATAGTATTTGTAAAGAGTTTTAGCTATACAACCAAACTCACTTTCACATTTATAATATTTGTAAAGATAAGTTAGTTATACAACCAAACTAATTTTCTCATTTATAATATTTGTAAAGATAATTTTTTACTCCACCAAGTAGGGTCTTTGAGTTCATTTTATCTACTAAGTTTATTTACTTCATGTCTGATTTTTTAATTTGTTTTTATTTTAAAAATTCTCATACAAAAAAAAAAAAACTTTATTCAAACATGAATAGCATTATTATTATTTTTATTTAGTAGCTTGGACCTTTTCACCAAGACTCGAAATTATACTATGAAACCATTGAGTTATGTTTATTAACATACTTTAAAATTTCAGAACTAAAGTATATTCCGGTAATAAAGTAATGGGAAAAATTCCAACGCTGTACGTAATGTGTGTTCATCTTCTACAGGAACACATTGATGGTAATGTATTTTTTTATTCCCCTTACATAGTTATAAGTGCCACACAATCATACCAAATTCCTGGACATTAATTACAATGTGTTTTGAGAACGTAAGACAATTAACATCTAGGAGATTACCCAGATATTCAGAATTATTCTTATTTAAAAAACAGCTTCTAAATTGTCGACTAGCGATGCGCGAATTTACTTAAACGACTATCATTTATTTTGTAATGTATTAAAATACAAGACTAATAGAAATGATTATTTGTCACTAGCCCTCAAGTACACGGGCGGCGTGCCATATGAACTCTTGAAGCCCGTTGTAGACAAAGCAACCCCTCAGCAACTTTTTGTACTGGAACATTTCAATCCCTATCTTATGGAAGACACTGCCCAGTTATGGCAGAAATACTGCGAGAAGCACTTTAGGAAACAACAACGGCATGAGATGGAAACGTGGAGGGAAATGTACATTGTAAGACATTTTTATTATTATTACAAAACAAGATTTTTTTTTTATTTTTCTTTAGTTTCTATAGTTATCATAGATTAATTGAAACATTGACCATATCGCGCCGTAACAATTTGTTATTATGTTGGCTTTACTCATTTTTTAAATGTAAATATTTACAAAATAAATGCAAGTCTTAATGTTAAGTGCTCATGACAGCAAATCAGTCGATTTCAAATACATTTTGTACACCATTTCTACCAACTTCTATTTTTACTAAAGTAACTTTGTCAAGGTGTATTAAATATATATTTTTTTTTTTTTATTATTTCAGCGATGCCAAAAAGAACAAGAACAAATTAAAAAATTTGACAGTGAATATTAAAAAAGC